TGACAATTGTTTAGGAAAGTAACTTTGAGTAATTTGGCCAAATCTAACAAATTAAATGTGATCTGTATTACTTACTTTTTAAGGACAAAATTACCCTGTGGAGATACTTATCAATTTACATCATAATGAAAATTATTTTATTCGATTATTTATACTTGTTTTATATTCCCCTACTATCTAATCCATTATAATAAAGGAAAATGTGGGTCAACTATTAAGCCCTGTGCTTGAATTTTTATGCCTGCAAACTCATTTATTGTTACCATCAACCCCTTGGTGGCACAATGTGGGAAATGAAGGAAGAAAGGGAGTGAGAAGATGCCAAACAGAATCTGACAATTATGCAATTTTTGACTGGCTGCAGGGAAAATCCTAAGATAGACACATAGGGAGTTACAGGTAATGGTCCTTTGAATTAAAACGTCCATAGCTCTCAAGTCTATCTCCCGATGCCTTCACATATGAAGACCTGTGCAACGCATCCTCGAATATGGCCACCCATTCAGATGTTTGGGCCAGCAGAATTTCATTAAAGCCCATACAAAAATGAAATGCCACCTTCTATGAAATCAGAAAGAGCATTTATATTGGTAGAACCAGAGGAAGGCTGGTCTTTTATGCACAAGTATACAAATAAAAGTTATCTTTAATAAATTAATATAAATTCTAATATGCCATATCTCATCCCACAGGAACCACCTAGTGAAGTTGGTGGATAGCTTTTGTTCATCCATTTTTTTTAAGAGACAGTCTCACTCTGTCCACTGGGTAGAGTGCTAGGGTATCATAGCTCACAGCAACCTCAAACTCTTGGGCTCAAGAAATTCTCCTGCCTCAGCCTCCCAAGTGTCTGGGACTACAGGCATGCACCACATCACCCATCTAGTTTTTTCTATTGTCAGTACAGACAAGGTCTTGCTCTTACTCAAGTTGGTCTCAAACTCCTGAGCTTAAACAATCCACTTCAGCCTCACAGAGTGCTAGGACTATAGGCATGAGCCGTGGCCAGAGTTGGAGCCCTCTCTCATTATAGGGATGCATTTATCTCATTTTGATATGCTAAAATAGACATGTCAGGATGGGGGCGTTACTTTCCAATACACCATGCAGTTACATCAGCCTTGCCTTTGTATATCCTAGATAAAGTCGTACCACCATAACCCCCACCAACACTGGTTCCATTAACTCCAAATCCTGGATCACCACCGTGGTCTGCTTATTCTGCTTCATAAAATCTCATAACAGCAGTGCCACCCCAATAAATACTCCCTGTCTCCATCAACAGCATCCTTGATATCTCCTTGTAGTCCCTTTCTGTCCATCCCTTCCCCCTTCTAGTTCCTAGTCAAGCTGCTTCTTACATGCCTGATTCTTTAAACATTGTCACAGTCTCAGCCAAGCCTCCACTTCCTATTAATGATCTAGACTCACACAATCCAACAGACATATAATACAAGACAGAGGCAAGCCACAAATGCAATCTTATATTTTCTAGTGGGCACAATTAAAAAATAGAAACTGCAAAGCTATTTTTAATAATAGTTTACTTAACCAAATAGATTACTTCAATATAAAATCAATATAAAAATGATCAATGAGGGTGGCGCCTGTGGCTCAAGAAGTAGGGTGCTGGCCCCATATGCTGGAGGTGGTGGGTTCTAACCCAGCCCCAGCCAAAAACTGCAAAAAAAAAAAAAAAAAAAAAAAAATCAATGAGATATTTTAAATTCTTTTCTTCATGTTAAATTTCTTAATTGGATGTGTATTTCACACTCACATCTTGATCTGAATCAGCCACATTTCAAGCACTCAATAGCCACATGTGGCCAATAGCTACCAAAGTAGATGGTACATATCTATACTCTCTCTCCAATGAAATGGTGATTTTAAAAGGTTGCTTACCTATATTTTTATTGTTCTTCAAGAAACACAAATAGCATGTGTTCATGTATTTTTAAAACTTGTTAGTTTAAATATCTTTGACATACCTTCCCATTCATCCTCTAATGCAAGGTGTTTTTTTTTTTTTTTTTTGAGACAGAGCCTCAAGCTATCCACCTGGGTAGAGTGCCATGGCATCACAGCTCACAGCAACCCCCAACTCCTGGGCTCAAGTGAGTCTCCTGCCTCAGCCTCCCAAGTAGCTGGGACCACAGGCGCCCACCACAACACTCAGCTATTTTTTGGTTGCAGCCTTCATTGCTGTTTGTCGGGCTGGATTCGAACTTGCCACCTTAGGTGTATGTGGCTGGCGCCTTGGCGCCTTAGCCACTTGATCCACAGGCGCCGAGCCAAGTTATTTTTTTTTAATGGCACTTTGGTTACATGAGCATGGTCTTCACTTCAACATCATCTGTCCACACCAAGCTCTATCTGCTCCACTGCCTCAATCATTCTCCCCATCCCCTGCCTCCTGCCACCTTCTGCCTCTGCACATCACTGATTATGAAGGTGCAGAATATCCAGAAGAAACATTTTCCACACCCTCACCACCTCTGCACAAACACTAATCACGCACTACTTGTAATTCTGCTTTAGTAGATCATTATTTCACAACTCAGAAAATTTAAAACCAAATTATTGAAAAAGGCTCTGTCTTTGGTGCTGCTTCAGAATTATTTTAAAATCATCTTGATTACTTTTCCTTAAAATTAAAAACAGCAAAAAAAAAAAAATCAGAAACATGGCCCACTTTGGTTTCTTTTCAGAAGAAACTGGCCTAATCTCCATAAACACAAGCAACTAAATTTTTAATCACAGAGTATACTTGTCACTTGAAAGATTTTAACTGGAATTATGTTTTTGTTTATTAAAAGCAAAAGCAGTTTCATGACTGGAAAAACCGAACATGAGGTGGACACAGCATAAGAAGCTGAAAGGGCTTAAATTACGTATAGACAGACTTTAAGGTCTATCATTTTTAGATTCATGTTACAGTTTGGTTTCCCGTTCGTCAAAGTGTGTGCCATTCTAATAACAGGCTTGCCCATTCCGTCCCCGATCATTGAAAGATGGCACCTGGAATCTTGAGATGGGAAGGTCAGGAACCTGGATTCAGGTCCTCACTGCCAGTTGCCAACCAGCTGCATGACCTTGATGGTGCCTTCAGGCCCTGCTGTTCCCATCCTTCCCTCTACAAAAAGGAGTCCACAGCATACTCCTCTGGCAGCCCCTAGCTCTCCCGCTCCTGACCTTACTGATCTTTCTCTACTCCACTATTCCCTAAGCACTTGCCTCCTCAGGCATCTCCTTCTCCTTCCAAAAAGACAAGATGGCAGTGAAAAGGGAAGGAAAGGCTGTTAAAAAAAAAAAAAAAAAATGAGTCACCTAGCAAGAATTCACCATTCCCTCTTGGCTGGGTGCCTTCTCATGCTGCTAAATCAGTTCTGCCAATGAAACTTGCTCTAAGGACCTGGTATTTGTCGTGTTCACTGTTCTTGGAGCGTGATATACACCGATCTCTTTGAAGAGCCACTTGTAGGTACAAAGCAACTCGAAGTTGCGGATCAAATACACAGCAGCAGCTAGACTTCAGTTAAGCCAGGAGAAAATGAGATCAAAATTGCGAGAGTTTTAATTAGGTTTTGAATCAGCTTTTGATAAGCTCGGGAAAATAATTACAGCTCCCCAAACTTCTCCCTTAACATCCCTCAGGACTCTGCCGCACCCTAAAATCTGGCCCGCTCTATGCACAAATCACTCCCTGCCTGATACCCAGAAGAACCTTCCCGGTTGCTAATTCCCTCACCAAGGCTTAAGTCAGGGGCAGCTGATGTTAGTTGTGGTCTGGGCTGCTTCCGCCTGGCCTGATTTTTCATGCTGCCATTTTGAATTAACGTAGATTTCCTCTGCAACTGATGCTGGCAATGCAGTATACACACACGCGCACACACAAACACACACATACACGCACACACACACCCCTAACCCCAGGATGCTAGACACCAGCGTAATTCAAGGCACTTGCAAGCTAAAATTGACCAGAAAAGCCGTATTCTTTAACAGACCCCTACAAGGTCAGTTTTGAGACATGACAAATGATAGTTTCCTCAGATGCTTTAAAGGATATTTATGTCCCCAAATCCGAGTTCTCGCCAATTCTGTAAAGTTTAAGCGTTCCTCCTGCTTTGCAGATCACACTGGTCTCCGCCCTCACGAGTGATGTCGCCAAATAATTGACGCTTCGACACTCAAGGCAAACTGAGGTAACACAATCATCTCAGAAATACACTACAGCCCTTTATCAGTAAGTGCCCCCGCGCCGTCGCGTTAACCCACTCTAACCCCTAGGAACGCCCCGGGTGCAGCTCGGGGGAAGTTGCATCTAGTCCCACGCGCGGCCGACTACGCGAAAGCAACATCCAGCGCGTTGGCACTTAAGGGGCGGGCAGTCCCCGAGGACCCGGGAGGAGGGGGGGCGCGGGACAGAGTCGAGCCAAGGGCAGCGGCCCGGCCTGGCAGCCATGCTCGCTTCGAGCTGGCCCTTAGGGCAGGTGCGTTACCTCCTGGAGGTGCCAGGCTTGTCAGCTCCGGACCCCGGGAGCAGCCGAGGAGTGGGGGTGACGACGTAGGGGACGCACAGGCACACACCCCAACTGGCAGCAAGTTGGTGGTCAAGAAAAGGAAACAGGAAAAGCTGCCAGGGGCAGGTGGGGGTAAAAGAGTTAATATAAGGAAGTGGGGGGGAAAGGGTGGGGTTGGGATGTGGAGAATGGGGACCGGTTCCAGTCCGGCTACCCTGCCCGTGCCCGGGGTGGGGTATCCCTCTCCTGCACCCCGGCAGCCCCAGAGCCCGAATCAGCCCCAGCCCCAGGCCAAGGCCACCACTTCCTCCGTCCAGCGAGCCAGCACCCGCAGGAATTCAGACCCCGCCAGCGCTAGGCACAGTTCGGAGGGACAGCGGCAGGAAATAAGCACCAGGGATGGCGATGGCGGATGGGGTGAAACCCCCCTCCCAGAGAGGCGCCCTGCACTCCCAGTCATGGCCCCCCTCGGCTCACCTGCTGGGCAACAGGCTCCGGGCTCCGCTCTGCGGTGCTGAGGCTGCGGCTGCCGAGGGTGCGGGTGCTGCCAGACGCGGATTACTGCGGCGACATCGGGGGCTGCAGCTGCAGTGGCAGAGGCGGACGCCGGTCGCTTCCCCCTCCCCAGACTATCCGCAGTCTGGCCCGCCACCCCCCTGCAACAGCTGCCCCGGCTCACGTGACCGCGGGGCCCACACACCCCCGGCCTCTACCCACCCTCGGCCCCCGAGGACCCGCCGCACCCGCACCCGCCCGGTGTGGCTGCCTGGGCCGCGGCGCTGCGCTCCGCCTCATAGGGGAGGGCGTCTGCGAGGCCGAGAGGGCGGATCTCGCTGCAGAAAGTGGCTGCCTCTTCGCTCGTTGTTGTTTTTTTTTTTTTTTTTTTTTCTGGTTGCAGCTCTCTCAAAAGGAGAACCAGGGCTGTAAGGAACCAGGCCCAGTTTCTGGGCGCAGGTTACTGCTTCTGAGTACTCAGAGCCTAAGCAGGATTTCTCCGCGGAGAAATGTAACCAAGTCGACTCCCAGGTTTTAAAGATGCCCTCCTGTACCATGTTGATACTCCAGATCTCATACCCAGTACTTGGACATTGTTGCACAGAGAGTTTAAGTAACTTGTCCAAGGTCACACAGCAAGTAGCAAATCCAAGATTCCTTGCCTGGATTAATCTATGAACAGGGGCGTGTGTGTGTGTGTGTGTGTGTGTATTGATGCCAGCGTCAAGGTCATTGGTCAGGATATGACACAGACTCTACCTTTTACAAATAAATAAGAAATCAGTAATGGTCTCTTAATCTCGAAGGATGTGAAGAGATAGTTCATAGGAAAATAAAGGCAATACCACCCAGGCACACGAAAAGATATTCAAGATATGCAATGAACTGCAAATCAATTGTAGGAGGTTGCAATTTCCACCTGTCCGATAAGCAAAAATCAAAAACCTCCATAAAGGACAATTTGGCAATATCTCTCAAAATAACAAATTTATATATATTGTCCTCAAACTTCTGGAATTTGTCCTACAGATACACTGACATCAATGTGAAATGATATGAGGACAAGGTCATCCATTGCTACATTATTTGTACTAGCCAAGATTGGGAGCAAATGTCTATTGACAGAGGCTGTTCAAATACATTACAGTACATCAATACCATGAAATGCTATCCAGCTTATTTTTAAAAATTAGGGCAGTCTCTATGTACTGATATGAAAAGATTTCCAACCAATACTAAGTGAAAGATTAAAAAAAGCAAGGTGCAGGATGTTGTGTGTATAATCATTTGCGGAAGAAAAAATACATACATACATTTGTAGTTATATTTGTAAATGCATAGAATATCTTTGGAAGGATATGTAAGAAACTGTAATAGTAGATGCTGCCAAAAAACAGAACTGGGTAATTGGATGCTGGAGGGAGAAAGAGACTTCTTTTCCATGTCTTTTTTGAATGTTGTGCCTGTGTTTACAGTTTGCTACATAAGTGAATGGATAGAGGAAGAGCACTGGGGAAATTAGGGCAGATAGTGTAGAACAAACCATTGGTCCATAGACTCTGAGGGAACAAAGGTACTTTATTGTTCATTTAGTCCAGCCAAGGAAACTGCAGCGGAATGAGTTTAAGTAACCAATGTTAGAAAACCCTAAAGGATTTGTTACTGGGTCCTAGACCAGATCTATTGAATTCAGAGCCTCTGGAGCTACAGCCAAGGAACTTGCATTTTTGTCAAGCTCTAAAAGGGGTGGGGAACCTGCAGCCTCAAGGCCACATAGGGCCTTCCAGATCTCCAAGTGCAGCCCCTTGACCAAATCCAAACTTCACAGAACAAATCCCTTCATTAAAGGGATAAATAAAAATCCCTTTATTTGTTCTGTAAAATTTGGATCTGATCAAAAGGCCACACTCAAAGATCCAGCAGGCAACATGTGGCCCCAAGGCTGCAAATTCCCCACTCTTTTAAGGGTATACTACTGCTAAGAAAACTATTGCAATTCTTTGCCTTTCTGTAGCCAGTATGTGTCACTTCTCATGTAAAGGAAGGCACTTGCACCCTTTGGTGGCAGCTATGACCTCAGAACACAGGTATGGGAGACTACCAGCCTATCTACCTGGCCTGAAATCTTTGAAGCTTGTTGATGTGTCTCTACGTAGGCACAAGGCTATGAAGCCAGGAGCCCAGGAACACATGAAGATTAAAAGATACCTATTTTCCCCAGGAACTACATAGAGAAGCTTATTATATGGGATTATGAACATTTATTAAGTAGCAGCAATACATACTGTTCAGCTTTGTGGATGAGAGACAGACTCTGCTGTTATTCAAGTTTCATTAATAGGGAACAGAACAGTCCTACAAATATAGAGAACATGAAGAAACATCAATAAGGGCTTTAATCATTAGCTTCTATCAATCATGTGAGGTTTAGCTGCAAGTAAATTACAAAATTTCTATGAACTCGCTTGCAAGGAAAAAGTTGTCTTAAACGAACTGCAATTATTATATAATCACTTATATTCCATCTATCCATGTTCAAAGACTTTAGAACTAATAAATAAAAGTGTGCCAGATTTCCTTTTCTGCCATGGAAGTAGGAAAAGACTGCTCTCTTTTCAGGACAAAGGAAAAAAAGCAGGGGCAGGGATAGGATGGTAGTCTTAGCTTTTGTGCATTGTGATGTAGAGATAACGTACGTTTTCACATGTGAGTTATCTTGCTATTGTCAAAAACCAATTGGCCATATAAAAATGTAGATATGGCTTGGCGCCTGTGGCTCAAGTGGCTAAGGTGCCAGCCACATATACCTAAGGTGGCGGGTTCAAATCCAGCCCGGGCCTGCCAAACAACAATGACAGCTGCAACCAAAAAATAGCCAGGCGTTGTGGCAGGCGCCTATGGTCCCAGCTACTTGGGAGGCTGAGGCAGGAGACTCACTTGAGCCCAGGAGTTGGAGGTTACTGTGAGCTGCGATGTCACAGCACTCTACCCAGGAGATAGCTTAAGGCTCTGTCTCAAAAAAAAAAAATGTAGATATATTTCCCAACTCTCTCTTCTGTTCTATTGGTCTATATTTAATTTTATGTCATTACAATACTCTCTGGATTTCTGTAGCTTTATGGTAAATCTTGAAATTAGACAGCTTAAGTCTTGCAATTTTGTTCCTCTTTTTCAGAACTATTTTTGCTGCTCTAGCTACTTTGCATTTCCACATAAATTTTAGAAACACCTTGCCAATTTCTATAAAAAAATTCTGATTGAGATTACATTGAATCTATAGACCGATTTGAAGCAAATTTACATCTTAATAATATTGAGTCTTCCAATCTATGAACATGATATATTTCTCATTTATTTAGGTCCTTTCTAAATTTTCTCAGAGTTTTTATAGTTTTCAGCATATGGGTTTTGAGACTATTTTGGTTAATAAGTATTTCATGTTCTTGGATGCAATTGTAATTGATATTTTTTAATTTTATTTTTCAATTATTCATTGCTAGTATATAAAATAAAACTGATTTTTGTATATTGGCCTTGTATCCTGTATCTTTACTAAATAGATACACTTATTACTTCTATTAATTTTTTCATCATTCATTCGAATTTTCTCTGTACTAATAATGTTGACTACAAATACATTGTTAGTGCTTCCTTTCCAATCCACATGCCTTTTAATTCTTTTTCACATCTTAAGGAATTTGCTAGGAACTTCTTAATAGACTCTTACTCTGTGGCCTAGGCTAGAGTGCTGTGGCATCAGCCTAGCTCACAGCAACTTCCTGCCTCAGCTTAATTCCTGAGCTCAAGCAATCCTCCTGCCTCAGCATTCCTTCCCAAGTAGCTGAGACTACAGGCATCTACCACAATGCCTGGCTAATTTTTCTACTTTTAGTAGAGACAGGGTCTTACTCTTGCTCAAGCTGGTCTCCTGAGCTCAAAAGATCCTCCCACCTTGGTCTCTTGCTCATACCTCCTAGGATTAAAAGTATGAGCCACTGAGCCCACCTGATTGGTTTGTCTAACCATGAATGGGTGTTGAATTTTGTCTACTGCCTTTTCTGCATCTATTGAGATGATCAAATGATTTTTACACTTTATTCTGTCAATATGGTAAAAAACATTAATTGATTTTGTACTGATGCATTATCCTTTTTCTACATTTCTAGGTTCAACTTGCTATTATCTTTTTTTAAAATTTCAGATTAATGTGAGAGTACATCATGGTGATTAGGTTACATCGTTTGTGTTTGTTAGGTAAAGTCCAAGTTGTAGTGGAGCCCTTCACCCAGGAGGTGTGCCATATCCCCCTGCATTGGGCCTGTTAGGTGAGAACTTGCCAATCCCCCTCCTCCCTTCTCCTCTTCTCACACCCCGCACTTGAATTAAATTATGTTTTTCTCTTGTGTGGGTATGCAGTTGTTCATCTACTGGCTTCATATTAATAATCGGTACATTGGATACTTGCTTTTCCATTTCTGTGATACTTTACTAAGGAGAATATTCTTAACTCTATCCAGGTAATTACAAAAGTTGTAAAAATCCTCCATCTTTTTATGGCTGAATAGTATTCCATGGTATACATATGCGACAGTTTGTTAATCCATTCATGGGTTGATGTGCACATGGGTTGATGAGCACTTGGATCGATTCCACGTTTTGGTGATTGTGAGTTGAGCTGCGATAAACATTCTAGGGCAAATGTCCTCGTGGTAAAATAACTTTCGGGGTAGATATCAAGTAATGGGATTATAGGATTAAATGAAAGATCTACTTTTAGTTCTTTGAGGATTCTTCATACTTCTTTCCAAAGAGGTTGCATCAGTTTCAACTTGCTAATATCTTGTAGAGGATTTCAGTGTCTATTTTTGTTGTTGTTGTTGTTGTTTGAGTCAGAGTCTCCGTCTGACTCCCTGGGTAGAGTGTTGTGGCATCATCGTAGCTAATGGAAAACTCAAACTCTTGGGCTCAAGACATTCTTTGCCTCAACCTCCTAAGTAGCTGGGACTACAGGTGCCTGCCAGAAGGCATGCCTAGTTTTTTCCTATGTTTACTAGAGATGGGGTCTCACTCTTGCTCAGTGTGGTCTTAAACTCCTGAGTTCAAGGTATCTATCTTCCCATCTCAGCAAGT